CCATATGGACAATAACAAGCTCCAAGCCATCCGTGACTGGACCCAACCTTCATCAGTTAAAGATTTACAGCGTTTTCTGGGTTTCGCCAATTTCTATCGCTGGTTTATCAAATCCTTCAGCATGATCACAGCGCCACTCACCTCTATGCTCCACAATAAACCCAAGACTCTGTCCTGGCCTCCGGAGGCCCGAAGAAGCTTTGACCAGCTACAAGAAGCCTTTTGCACCGCTCCCACCCTGATACATCCAGATCATCAAAGGGCATTCATCGTTGAGGTTGACGCATCGACCGTGGGTGTTGGAGCAGTGCTATCTCTGTATAGCGGAGAGTAGGGATGCAACGATTATAGATTTTGTTGGTACGATTATTGTCTGAGGAATAATCACAGTTTTACGATTATGATGATTATTATGCATTTATTCATTTCCCAACATTACTAATGTATAAAATCACATGAACACTCTTTAGATATTGATAAGCACGTCATTTTAAGCTGGTGCACCGCTAGTGTAACTTTGTTTTTGTTTTGCGCAAGCTGCAACAGTTCCATTCCGTGTAACAGAAACACTCGGTTTAGCAGAACCTTTACGATTAATTAACCGTGACGTTTTAAAGCGCGGTTAATCGCGAAACCGGTTAATCGCTGCATCCCTAGCGGAGAGCCTCCTAAATTACATCCCTGCGCCTATTTCTCATGCAAGCTATCCCCGGCGGAGCAAAACTACGACATCGGGAACCGTGAGTTGTTGGCCATCAAGCTCGTCCTAGAGGAGTGGAGACACTGTCTGGAGGGAGCTATCCATCCATTCCAAGTCATTACTGACCAGAGTATCTAGAGTATCTTCGTGATGCTAAAGGTCTGAATCCTAGACAAGCTGGGTGGGCACTGTTCTTCTCTCACTTGAACTTTACTGTCACCTACCGACCTGGTACCCAGAATTCCCATGCTGACGCTCTCTCCCGTCTCTACCAGCCCACTCAAGACAATGCATCCCCAGAAACCATTCTCCCTCCAGCCATCGTTGTAAGTCCGATTCAATGGTATTTGGATGATGACATTCGACAAGCCACACTCACAGACCCAGCTCCGCCGGGAGGCACAGAAGGGAAAACCTATGTTCCATCCACCCTGCACCTTACCCTTCTGGACTCGCTCCATTCATCTCCGGGCTCTGGACATCCAGGCAGCGAGCGTACCCTCTCGCTTCTCCAAAGCCGGTACTGGTGGCCGAACATGGCACGGGATGTCTCCCAATTCGTCAAGGGTTGCTCAGTCTGTGCCATATCAAAGACACCCCGTCATCTTTCTCATGGGAAACTGGTTCCCTTACCTCTACCTCGTCGACCCTGGTCCCACATCGGAGTCAACTACATCACAGACTTGCCAAGGTCCGACTCCCACACCTGTGTCCTGGTTGTGGTTGACCGGTTCTCGAAGGCCTGCAAACTGATCCCGCTCCCCGGGCTACCGACCTCCATGCAAACCGCAGAACTGTTGTTCAATCACGTATTCCGAAACTTTGGCATCCCAGAGGACATTGTCTCCGATTGTGGGCCACAGTTCATCTCGAGGGTCTGGCAAGCCTTCTTCCGCCTCCTAGGAGTCTCCGTTAAATCTCACCTCTGGATATCACCCACAATCCAACGGACAGACTGAGCAGAAGATTCAAGACATTGGGAGGTACCTTTGCAGTTACTGCCACCAGAACCAGCATGGATGGAGTCACTTCCTCCCCTGGGCCGAATACGCACAGAACTCACTCCGTCAGCACTCCACCGGTCTCACTCCCTTCCAGTGTGCAGGGGTTAAAGCAAAAAAAAATCCTGAGCCTAAACTTTTCCGGGGGGGGATACCATATTTTTATACAAATACATGGTATAAAAAAAAAAACATGTATTTTTTTTTTATGAATACATGGTTGACCTGAAGAATGAAAGCTATATCATATCATACACTAGGAAAATTACAAGCTATATCACCGCTTATCGACACTACGGTGTGACAATACACTTAGCTCACGAGATAAAAATAAAAAGACAAAATACAGATACTTGGTTCACTAGAACGAGACACTATTTTAAAGAAATTTTCAATGACAAAATATTTGTATTTTGATTACAAAAATCTAGGGCTGTAACTAATGATTATTTTGGTAATCAAGTAATCTACTGATTTTGACAATTGAGTAATCTGATATTTTTTTAGTAACACAAACAGACCTAAGTGAAAACCAGGCTTTAGTATGACTATTTAGGCTATATATAAACTAACGAGGAGGCAATAATAATTGGCTCAAATAAAATATAAAAACCAAGTAATTACATGGTTTTATTGAACAACACTGATAAAATACATAATGTAATATGCCTATACATAATATGAACATAACCAACTTAAGTACATTATGGCCACGTTCACACAGCAGCAGAATACGGTTATCAGTCCTGTATTTGAGTCCTTAATACGGTTACGTTCACACACAGTTCGGTTATTTACGGGTGTGACAACCGCATTCTGTAACCGAACTCACACCTGTAAATTTTCAGGACTCACAACCGCATTCTCGGAAAACCCGCGCTGTGTGAACGGAACAGGACTGGACAACTAGTTGTCTGTCACGTCATACAGTGCGAGAGGGAGCCGCTCTGCCGCACAAACGCGTGGTTACCGTGTGTTACGTGTTTTCATGTGTGTTTTCGGTAACTTACAGTGACGGAGAAATGAGCTGTGTGTCTGTCACCTGAAATTTTTAGATCCCGTCAGTTTTCCACCGGAGCTGCTCCCGTCAGTTTTGTGTTCTGCACGCGACTCAAATTCTCCGCTCTCCACCCAAATTTAAAGGCTGCTGTCTGTTAATGAAGATTTGATGGATGAACTCGCGGCTCGCTTGGACTCTTGTCGTGTAAGAAAGTGAAAAGACTTTCAGTTTTATGGACGTCGCCATCTTTGATTTTACTTTGGTCACTGTCGCTATGGTTACTGGTAAGGAATAC